ACAAAAACGCCTAGGAGGAGCTAAATGACAAACTTGAATCGATGAACCGGATGTCAAACTCCGACGAAACGAGATGCCAGCTACGCTCTTCGATGAGGTAGCTACATGAGAAATTCCACTTTATATTCCGGTATAAGCAGCTTCAGCTGTCTAAGGAGTATCTTGTAGGTCTACAATCTCATATGACATTCATGGTCCAGGCAAAAGAACGCTGATTTCGAAACCACAGATTAATCCAAAGCTAGCCTCTGTAGGGTATAAATGTGGGGCGAGGCGGCAACAGTCCCATAGTGGTGAGACTGCTGCGCATGGTGGGCTTCTGCGTTAAGGGGTCTCATCGAGCAAGGCCGAAGACATGGTGCTGTGCTGCGGCGACCAAGAATCCAGAAGCCGATTGTGGCCTTGGCCTGGTCATGCACAGTAAGCTTGACCACATCTTCCCCAACATTGGAAGAAACGATGCATATCGACAATTGACTGATCAATGCAGCTGTGGTGGTAAGTGAAGACCGCGGTTTGATTGCTCTGGAATCAGGTCTCAAACACCTCTCCATCGCCGATATTCTTGGAGATGCAACTGACGATGATATCGGAGAGTGGAAAGGCATGGCCTGGGCTCGGAACTTTCATTGAGGCGACGAGGCTACAATCCATCCAAGTCGTCCATCGCCCCTGGATACTTTCTAGCAGCTACAAGAACGTCCAGGTGCGCTCATATCTTAGCCTCCGCCATTTGCCACCTCACTGCCCGGATACCGTCTTTCTCGACAAGATTGACGTCCACAAAAATGACATCATCTGGGCCGATTAAATTCACTGCCTTACGCGCAGTATGCCACCTTTACAAAGCAGCAGAGCAGGAAACTCCCCTGCCGGATGGATGGTCATGGCCATGGGCGGGGCGTGTGATGACCGCCCACCCGGACCTGCTCTACAGCCACTGGCTTCACGGCCGTCTTTGCAGTCTGACTTTTCTACAATGCAACAGGCCCAGATAAATCCTAACGGACGCATGGTGTTCTCCAGCCGCTGGCCTGCTGAACACCCACTACCTCAGTCGCCATGGGCGTGATAGCTCTGACTGCCTAGACCTTCGGAGTCGGTTGTCTTCAATTTGCTGGACACTGGACCGAGTGTAAAGGGCCAACCTGCATTTCACAACCCGTCATCACCTCCAGCCTTGACAACCCCTGGCCTTGTACAGGAATGCGGAGAAGAACTGGAGGTGCAGCTAACTCTCCCCTATCTTCCACGTAAGGGCTCTCGTTTGCTCCAGCTCGTAGCCAATCGCAATCTTTCTTCCTACAGTGGATATCTACGCCTTGCGAGTGCCGCTAAGCCCTTCGTCCCCTGCAGAAGGCACGGAGAACGGGATCTCATACTGCGGGTCACGAAATACATCCTTTTCTTCTGTGGCTGCCTGATCGCCTGCGATAACTCATGAAGGAAGGCCCTGCATACCTGGAGGTACGATTGATACGTGAGGAAGGGAGCCTTCGTGGCCAAGGTTGCGATAGCCCGGGAAATCATGGTGAGCGGGCAGCCGGAGCCGGACAGTCCCCTTCATGCAGCTCGACACCATCAATTCTCAACCTTCCTTCGCCGGGCAAACATGTTCAGCACGTTCTGAAGATGACCGATTCCATGATCACGGCCTGCAGATTGATCGCGAGAACAGCGCTACCCACCGTTCGCCAGCAGCAGGACGCTTTATCGGTTTACTCGTCGCAGCGGAGAGAATGTCCGATGGGCCTTAGGAGAGACTCGACCACCACAACAACTTATATGAGCTTTGATGCTCGTTAAATTACTCGCGCTAGTCGACGCGAACGCAGGATGTGACTTTTCCAGACATATAGTTGAGAGACGATAGCAACAGTATGGAAAGACAGCGATCCTACACGAAAGCTCTGGGAAACCCTGATTCGGGGAACATTATCCAGAAACCGTCGGTCGTCTACGGACATCGTAGCCCATACTTCAACCACCTCGACGACGTTCGTAATGGCTTCGGACAAGGACCCTGAGCAGGACAAGAAACCCTGGCTGTCTGGTATTATATCGGGCGCTATCTGACTGGCAGAGTCGGTTAGTTATAGCCTCACTTCTTAAGGAGTTACTCACCATGGTCAGCGACGACTCCCAGAAACTACCTACGAATGTCGCAATGGATTTCTTCACATTCAATGCCACACAGAGACGCCGGTCCCCAACCGGGTGGCCGGGTCGAGGTAGTCACTGGAAAAGACAGTCTGCTGACCAAGTCCAGCTATACCGGCAGCGGAAGCCAATGTCACAGCTGGTGGAGCTTACCGTGGACTTTATCACACTGGGTACAGATCTTGGTCAAAGACTACACATGATGTGAGTTGACTTGCGGCTGGCCTGCACTGGGATGCGATGGCTACATCTCTCCCCTGAAGCAGGATGGCTTATTGGATGATCGCGATCGCCCCCTGGTGGAGGTTATCCTACGCCGCGCATCGTCTGCGCTAGGTGAATCGGCTGATTCCAATACCTTGGGATGCACCTGCGCGTTCGGTGGATGGCTCTACACACAACACACTCGACAGAATACATCGCAGATCATTTTCTGCAGGGCATCAGGCTTTTTCTTTTCTTTTCTTTTCTTTCGAAACTGGTTCTCCAATGGCACCGGCGGCTGCAGGGCCGAGGTATCCAGCAACATCAACTTCAGCGCCCTTCTGCGCTCCCGGCGGACCCAATCGTCGACCCAAACCATTCACGGCGAGATCCAAGCGTTTCTAGAATGGCTCCGTGGTGATTGATCTCACTGAAGGCCAGTCCCCGGGTGTTCTCGCAAAGTACAGGAGGGCTCATGGTACCTGTACAATATTGGTAGGGAGCCAGGGGGGGGGGGGGCAGGAAGCCCAGTTAGTTCATTCGACTGTGCAAAGCGCAGAGCCCCCTGGCATGCGCGCGGCGAGGGCTGCAGCATCTGGAACCGGGAGACCGAAGGAGGCGTGGCCCAGAACAAGCATCATCATCATCAGCAGCAGCAGCAGGCGAAGGGGCATATGTCGTCTTCGAACAAGGGACGTATCAGGAACGATCTCCCGTTGACGTCTCACTATCCTGCCATGAGACCACAGGGGTGCAGACTCGGATTTCGCTTCAGAATGCGGCTCTTGTCAAGCAGAAAGACAGCAGGCCTTTGCCGGAAACCTCCTTTCACAAAACACTATCACGGGTTCTTAAAGATCGGGACTAGGACCAAAGTCTGAGGGCTGGAGTCCAAGGCGGAGAACCTTGAAAAGGTGAAGCAGCAGGATTTTCCGACCGCGCTTAACGTCTTCCTGCCCTCGGTCAACCTCGGTAGCCTGCCTTCCACACATCCCTTAGCTATCACAATCCACCCGACGGCCAATTATCATCTACAGATCCTGAGGCTTGGCATACGCTACCCAGACGATGGAAACCATTAGAACGCGTGGTCACGACTGGTCTTGCATCCATTGCTTCATAAAGGCCATTTCTAGTCGAAGGAATAGCTGCTGAAACTTGCGCGGCATACTTCTTTCCCTGTCATATACTGTCGCAACCGGCCAGATCACGAGAACTAAAGATAGAGCCATCCACCCCCGCCCGTGGTACCGGTGGACAGAGTTCAACAGGGTCTATTTCAAGTCCTGTGCCCGGGGCTCTAGGCCACTCCTGTTCAGCTTGCGGTATAGCGTGGCCGGTATATTGTCCTAACGAGACGCCACTGGCATTCACCAAGACAGACAGTGATGCTCCCCAGGGGAACCACCACCAGCCGGAAGAAGAACCACAGAGCGCTGTGAGTGCCGCGAGCACCACAACAACCACAGCTCCCAACATTGCCCCTACACTTTGCTTCTCAGCAACAAATAGCTCTTCCGACCACATGCCGAGAGCCAGCGAAAAGGCTGTGTGAACCAGAGCTCTGCTGATCCTGGTTATGCGTGCGGTGGCTTGGAACACCTCTACTGTGACCATGTCACAGCCATCGATATCAGGGCCGGCGCCGTTGTTTAGGAGCTGGCTTGGGTTCTGCATTTCAAATCCGTGAGCAAATTCTCAAGCACGGCTGTCCAATCCTGCCTATGAGCGAATGGCTGCTCCAGCGCGACAAGTGCTTTGGGAGCCAAAGATATTCCAGAATCCAAAGAACCGGAGCTTGCCACTTCGAGCCAATAAACTCAGCTCCCTGACCACCAAAGATGCAGTCGCAGGCAAAGAGACCCGACTTGTGGGTCCTTGGGCCGTAAAGTACTCGAGCTAGACAATGCTCTATACAACCAGCGACTATCGATGAGACACGCGTATTGCCACATTGCAATCTGTTGCTTGCTCAGATGTCTTGGAAAGGCTACCTGCGTGACCCGGAGTACGCGCCGTCAACGGAAGTGGCAGTCAGATTTGAGGGGCTTTATGCCCGTCACTGAGATGCTCACTGCTGCGGTCACAGATATCAATCAGACATGCCTGGCTGTGGTCGCGGCGCACTGGCGCGCGAGTCTATTGATAAGGAATCTGAAGCTAAACCTTCGCCCGGCAGCGGATCCCCGTATCATATACCTGGAACCCTGCTCACGATGGCGAGGGTTACTAGCTCTGGTGGAGTGTCTGAGCCGGATTTCTTGTGTAATATTTTTAAAGTGTTTCCTCAAATACTTAGGGAGACGAGTGACTCATCGCCAAGGGAGTCCTCATCCAATAGCAGCGATTCAGAAGGATCTACATTTGGAAAGCCAGAAGGTGCTGAAGCTGACAAGCACGGAAGAGGTTCTACAGGTGGAGACAGAGCCGACGATACCGAAGACAAGAGGGACCCCCAGATTTCAATTCAGTACGAAGAACTCCGAGATCCCCAAATGGAACAATACGATGGTGCAGTGATTAAGTCTAGTTTCATGTAGAACACGACAGCAACAACGTCGGCAGATTCGAATCCGACACGATCGCTACAGGCACGCTCACGACTGACGAGCCCACCAGTGTCGGTCAGGCCTCCAATGCAACCACGCGCCGGCAATTGTCACCTTGAGATCGCCCGTGATCTGCCGCCGCCCGGCCGGCACATCGATACGGTGATCTCGCGATGGGGGCGAACAGCTCTGCACTACCTGCCTACTGTGGCAGCGAGGAAAGGGTCAGATTTATGCTTGGACACGGCGCGAATGTTAATGTGACGGATCCGTAGGGTGAGACGGCGCTCTCGTATACCGCGATGAGGTATGGAGATGAGGCAGTCGAAGCGCGCCTGGCGCATGGAGCCGATGTGGATACAGGGGCCGAGACGCCCTTGTTGCAGGCTATCGCTTCATGCAATTGTAACCTTGTGCCTTGCTTGCTCGCTCAAGGAGCGGACCCTGATGCGGGAACCTACAACAACAAAGAGACAGCACTCACCCGTACGATCAATCAGTCTTGCGATCTGGCCGGTCATCAACTGCCTGAATGGTGCGCCGGTGAATGCTGTGAGCTTCGCCCTGTTCTACTGCGGCGCCGGCTGCCCCAAGCAATGACGCTGCACGACAGCATCACGCAGTCCCCGTTGACAGTACGTCTGTTCCGGAGGCGAGGCCATGGTCCGCCGGCGTGGAGGTCCCGATCCGGAACCACCACAGTGACGCTGGAGAGGGCGACCCTGAACTTGAGGGCGCGCGCAGGGGTAATAAGGGGAGTTGAAGCCGTCTTGTGTCTGGCATCTCGAAGGCACACCCTTTCTTCCCGGAGTGACCACTCGATTCTCGTGGCTGCGATGTCGATCATCCAGCGACCCCATTGGGGTCACGACCTCGTCCTCGTCTTCGAAGACTTTCCTGGTGCGAGTGGCGTGGACCTTGGGCAGGACTTCGATCGCGTCCTCCAAGCAAGTGATGAACCCCCGAGCATCGATCGTCGGTGATTCTCCGCCTTAGAGAGATGCCGGATCGACCGGAGACGAAATGGAGGTCTTGGTGGCGAAATACCAGAACCAAGGAAGGGTTGCTGCTGTTGACGGAGGTTCCGTCCTCGTATTTTTGGGGTTGCGAGCGTCCTGCTCTGGGCGTGTCTTAGTTGAATATAAAACACTGTCTTTGCTTAAGAATACTTTATCTTTTGGTTTTCTTTCTGGTTTCTTTGGAGCTGGCTGTCTGTCTGTCTGTTTATCTTTCGAATGATTATTTGAACTGTGCAAGCCGTGCTGAGCTGGAAGATCGTGGATTTCATGATTTAAGTGACCTTGGTTCCTTCAATCAATCTCGCGTTCTGGGGCGCCCTAGCTGATTCCTGAATACCATCCACTGTCATCACGCCTGAAGGAAACCATACCGTTCCTTCACACCGAAGTCGAGTGTGAGTTGTGGGCTCGATGGAGAGAATTGCTAGGGAACTGAGCACCGGTGACCGAGCCAAGCAACACGGGTGTCTCTGGTGGCTACACTTCGACACTCTAGGCTTCTCTCAACGTTGCATACGCCGACAGGATAATGGTGCGTGGCGTGTCTTAGTTGGATAGCCGAGGCCAGAATAACGCAATCGACTCTGGTCGGGCTTTGCATGTAGTCCACCTCGCTCGCGGATCGCAGGACTTGACCGCCGCCGCGGATAAGTTCAACGACTCAGCAGGAGCCCCTCCCCCCTTTGACTTACTCGAGCCGAACACCTCTTGCAAGCAGCGACAGAGAGGAAGGATCGCGAACAGTGCATGACCCAAGTCTTTCCATATTCTTTACATCAAGTACATGGTATTTAGGACGAAGAATGCAGATCTCAATGCGCTCAAACTGTCAACATCGTGCCTGCGTTCTACAAACCCCTGGTCAGCTGACCAGCCTGCCAACCGTACAATCAAGTGCGCGAGGCTTTACAGGAAAGGGAGGCGCGACAGCCGATTTTGAAACAAGGAAGCCACTATACCCCCTCCTGCACATACTCCTAAAAGCCAATATCACTTATACACTTCATGTACTAGACGATCCGAAAGCCATCCCCTCCCGACATCCTCTCCCCCGGACATCAAGGTAGCCAACCCACCCCCGCCAACCAGCATTCCAACAACCCCAGAAATCCAAATCCACTCCTCTAAACCTCCTTAGCATCATGAACAGCTGCTTAAGATCCTCCAAATCTCCAAAACGCCATGTAGTACCGCAAAACTATGGCAGAAACCAAACCCAAACCAAGCATATAGGCCCGGCAAGTGCTGTCCCTCTCAACAAACACCCCGTATGGTCTAGATGGAGACGACGGTTGTGGGTCACCTAACGGTTTCCTGCTTCAGACCTGGGTTCGAACTCCAGTACGGGGGATCTGTTTTTTGTTTCTTGCCAAGGGAGGAGGTTTGTGTCATTGGGATGTCATTGATTGTTTGGGGGTCTTGGGGTGGTGATGAAGGAGTGCGGTAGGGCGTCATGTCAGCGTGTTGGGGAGGTTGGCGACAGTCATGTGGATGGATGCGCGTGTATCCCGTTTCTGGGGACTACTGGCAATGGTACTTGTAAGGGGCTTGGGGTTGATTTCTGGAGTTGTTTGTGACAGATATTATAGCCTAGTGCTGTGGGGGTGGCAGAGGTGGAAACGATGAAGCTGGGGGTTTTGCGGTGGTGCGCAGGTGGATTCGGTGGTCTAGTGAGTTATTGCTTTTCACCGCATGCTGGAGTACATGGGATGTTCTCTGGGCACTGAGTATTGATGTTGTTTGTTCAGGAAATGCAGGAAGTCATGGTGTGAGGGTAATAATTCCCCAGATGGAGCAACATGGGAAACTTGACCTCCTCGAGACTTGAACTCATACGTTTAACTCACCCACTAAAAGTCTACTAGCAGTAGTGAGACACACGAGCATTTTGGGATACCCTTCTCTCGCCTAGCTTACACAGCCTGGTCTACACCATCGAATTAGCTCTAACAGCTATCTAGGATGATCTTCCCTCTGCTGCGGGTCCAACTCGGACATATCCCCGGCTTTACCAGCAGCTCGGCCCTAGGAAAACCGAGGCCGACACTATCCCCGCAGCTCGGTCTATACCTCGGAGACAGCGCTTTTGATCTGATAAGATTGATTTTATAGAGAGGCAGCCAGAGGATAACCCGTATATAAGCCCAGTTCCCTTATGATCTCCAACCCATCAGATACCAACCTCACCATCCAGCCATTCTCAAAAATCCTCATCTACACCAACAATGACCACCCAATCCTTCCCAACCATCTGGCACGGCGTACGTCCATCCCACTCCCACCCCCTTTACCCATAACTAACTCCCAAAGGACGGCCGCGAACAAGCCCTCCAAACCCACCTCCTCCAGCACCCCGCCGCCGCCCACCTCCGCAACAACCCCACCGCCATCCTCACGGAAATCGACAACTGGGCCACCGCCCACAACCACTGCATGATGACCATCGGCCCCGAACGCAGTCAGCCCATCGTCGACCTCATCCACTCCTCCTCCCCGCGCACGATAGTCGAACTAGGCGGCTACATCGGCTACTCGGCCATCCAGTTCGCCGACGAGCTGCGCCGCACCACCACCCCCGGCACCGCAGCACGGTACTACAGTCTCGAGAGCAACGCCGCGTACGCGGCGGTAGCGCAATCGCTGATCGAGTTTGCCGGGCTGGGCGATCGGGTGCGGGTGCTTGTGGGCGAGGCGAAGGAGTCGTTGGCCCGGGTGGCGCGGGAACTTGGGGGCAACACAGCGGTGGATCTGCTATTTGTCGATCACTGGGGGGAGTTGTATCTTCCGGATTTGCTGGCCGCCGAAAAGCTGGGGTTGTTGAGGGAGGGTGCGCTGGTCGTGGCGGATAATGTGGGGATGGAGGGGGCGGGGGCGTATGCGAGGTGGATGGAGCACGGGGTGCATGAGGTCGAGGGGCGGGTGGTGCGGTATGAGAGTCGGACGTTGCCTTATACTTTGGTTAATGGGCAGGAGGTTTGTTTCTCCTTGGTTTCTTGTCTTGGGGTTGAGGTTGAGGGTGCGGTGTTGCTGACTTGATTTGTTTCTAGGATGCTGTGATGATTAGTAGGAAGGTTTGAGGGGTGAAGAGTGTTTGGACTAGCGTTGGTGATGGCTGGGTGTGGTGAGTCCGACTGGGACATATATTCCTTTCCCGGGCGGTTGTACTTTCCCTGCATGATGAAGACGGCTTTCGATCACGCTGTTTCAGCTACTCTTTGACGACATCTGGTGCTATATCGTTGTTCTTTTGTGGTATTATTCTCTGGCGATATCGTCTCTGTTGCACCAGGCGATGGATATGGATGGTGATGCCTTCAATAAAGTCAAGAAAGTTATGCGTTCATAAGCTAAAGCATCATGTTTGCATTGTTTGCCTGAGATCGCGGCGGCGTCCTCTGCAGTCTGCTCCACCCTTGTCTTTGGGGAGGCTTTTGAGTGGAAATCTCGACTATCCTTGCTCGGGTCATTTTCGGGTCGCAAATTGAGGTTGTAATCAATGATTTGAAGGGACTATGTTTGGCGACGATGCACTCGTACCATAGTAGACAAAGCCTTGGCACGGAAGCGGGCGAGCGGGCGTAAAGATACTAAATAGTTACTGAGATAGTACGCAACAGCAAAGTCTGATGCAAAAGTCTCTTTGCCTATTGCATAGAGCTGACTGTATTCACCTTTGTAAGACATACTGCAGCAAGGAAAGAGCATATGCATGCTGCACTGCACCCTGCAGTCATGTAAGTGCCCCCCCCCCCCCCAATCCGGCAAAAACCATGAGAGCCAGCCCTAAGCCAGATCGGGAGATGACAATGAGAGCTCCCCGCCAGGAAGTGTACCTTCCTCTCTGGGCCAACTTTCCGCTGCTACTATCGCTACAAATCATACCATGCAATATTGTGACACATATATATGAAGCTCCCCAACCTAGCTCTCAAGTCCCAACCACCTTCCCAGCCCCAAAACTTCCCCCTTCACTGGCAGAACCCCATCATGTACGACGTAATCGTCATCGGCGCCGGCTTCAGCGGCCTCCAAGCGGCCTACTCCGCCCAGCAAGCCGGACTCTCAGTCCTCGTTCTCGAAGCCCGCGACCGTGTCGGCGGTAAAGTGTGGAGTGTGCCGCTGGCCTCCGGACGGGGCTGCGTCGAGCTCGGCGCCGCCTGGATCAACGACACCCTACAGCCGCGGGTGTGGGCGTATGCGCAGCGGTTCGGGATGAAGGTCGTCCAGCAGCGGCTGGCGGGCCAGGCGGTGATGGAGCCGAGCGGGGAGGAGCGGTTTGTGTTTCCGTTTGGCGTGACGCCGGAGGTGAGTGACTTTCTCGTATGGTGGGGGGTTTTGAATGTGATGCTGACAAGCTGTGCCGAAACAGTTCAGCGAGGAAGAGAAGAAGAGCCTGGAGTATGTCCGCGACCACATTCAGGCCGAATCGCTCAAACCGGGGCCCGTCTCCGCCGAGGACGACAGCATCACTTTGGAGGAGTACGTGCGCAAGCTCGGGGCGCTGCCCAAGGTGGTCCAGATGATCAACCTGTGGGCGCAGGTGATGCACGGGGTGGAGGCCAGCGAGGAGTCGGCGGGGTGGTTCATTGATTACTGTCGTCGGAACCGGGGACTGTTGGCGGTCCGCGCGGACGATGCCTCGGGCGGACAGTATTTGCGCTTTCAGGATGGTGAGCCCGTCCCCACGTATCCCATTTTACTGTGCTCTACGAGGCGTACACCCGCTAACAGCAGCCCACCTGAACAGGCGCCCAAACAATCGCCACCCGCCTGGCAGCCCTAATCGGCCACCCAAACATCCACCTCTCGACCCCCGTCCAGGCCATCCACGACCACGCCTCCCACGTCACCGTCACCACATCCAACAACAAAGCCTACACGGCCCGCAAGCTCATCCTCTCCCTCCCCAGCACCATGTACAAAGAACTCACGATCACGCCCCCGCTACCCCCCGCCGTCCGCACCGTCACCGACGCCACCAAACTCGGCGACTACAACAAGGCCATCATCTGCTACGACACGCCCTGGTGGCGCGCCCAGCACTTCAACGGGTATTTCGCCAGCTACGCGGGGCCCGTCATTTTGGCGAGGGACACCTCCGTCGACGAGAAGCGGCACTTCTCGCTGACGTGCTTCGTGAACGGGGCCCCGGGGAGGCAGTGGAGCCGGCTGCTGCCGCACGAGCGGCGGGCGGCGGTGCTGAAGCAGCTGGCCCGGGTGTTCGGGCAGGACGACACGTCGGAGGTGTGGCGGCCGATCGAGATGTTCGATCAGATCTGGCAGCACGAGCGGTATAGTCGGGGCGCGTTGGCGCCGATCACGGCGCTGGGGCATTTGGCGCAGTACAAAGAGGTGTATGGGCGGGCGGTGGGGAATGTGCATTTCGTGGGGACGGAGTATAGTGCCGTCTGGAAGGGGTATATGGAGGGGGCGTTGTGGTCGGGGGAGAAGGGGGCGGAGGAGGTGGTGCAGGCCTTGAGCGGGAGGGGGAGGGCGGTGTTGTAGTTTTTTATTGCTTGTCTTCTTTTCTATTGGGGGTGTTTTTTTTTGCGGTTTCAGCTTATTGAGGTAGTGGGGAATAATACAGTAAGACTTTGTGTATCTTCTCCCTGTTCTAGGTATCGTGCACCTCCCAATTCAAACTAAACTGCCTCTTTTCAACGCACACCCTTCTCCACCAAACTGTACAGTACAACCCCTCACCACGAATGAGCCCTAATACGGAAATCCATCTACGATGGTTGAATTGACATAGTCAAAAGAAATGCAGCCCGATCCATTGATTATCACTGAACACAATCTTCCCCGCCCCTCACCATCCAGTCAATCTCCTACGCAGACCCAAGGAAAGGGAACTTTTTCCCCGTTCAGGCCCTCGAACCCACGGACCTTGGACCAACGCCAGTATTTCCCTAACTCCTACACACCGCAGCCATCGGACATTACTACTCAGTAGAAGCACTAGTTACCGTGGTGGGTAGCATTCACTCCGTTCGTGCTGATAAGCTGCATGCAGCTGCAGCTGCAGCTCTATCTTGTTCTTTCTTTCTCTCTAATTCGTTTTGGCTGAGGGATACATACAAAGTCCGCTGATCCCGACCAGACTAGGGCAGGGCGGGGCGCGGTGGGTTGGATTGCCTGATTCGGTAAGGAATGCGCTGCCGGGGCCTCACTGGGGTGGATTCTGGGGAGGGGTGGGTGGGTACTGACGATGTTTATGTGGGTTCGGACTTGGGCTTGGGGTTAGGTGTATAGAATAGGCTGGAAGAGTATGGGATGGAGGGGAGATAAGTGCCTTCAGGGGGGTGTTGATTGTTGTTTGTCTTGTCAAGGGGTGTGTTTGAGGTACAGTCCTTTCGGGGCTCGTAACATCCGAGGGGCAGTTGATAGACACAAGATCTTCACAGAAGTGAGTACAGTACAGTATATTGTCGAGATTCTACCCTTGCGGATCATTCATCATATCGCCAGGTCACCTCCCTCGCAATCTATCCCTTATCTCCACTAACCCATCGCAGTGCCCTCCACCACCATCCCCACTACCCATCCAAGAGCGGAAAGACATTCTACCCCATAATAGTCTCCAACCTTCTCTCCATCATAACATCCAACCAGAACGCCTCCTCCTGATCCTCCTGACCGCCACCCCCCTCCACTCCCCCACCAGCACCTGCATCATCCGCCCGCCTCCACACCTCGCGCACCAAATCCCCCACCCGCTCCAGCGGCGGCCGCGGCAGGATCCGCGTCAGATCCGCCAGCCGCGCGCTCACGCGCCGCCGCGCCTGCGCGATCTCCACGTCCACCGCGTCGAAAGGCGCCCATGCGTCCGCCGCCACGCCTAGCGGTGTTCCTCTCGAAAAGACCAGACTCCCCGCCGTCGCGGCCAGGAGGACCGGTTGCATTACCCTCGTCCCTGAGGTGACGGGGAGGGTTTCTAGTAAGGCAATGATGTGGAGGGCGAGGTGGCGTCGGAATTGGCGGGGGGTCATTCCCGAGGAGAGGGTGGGGAGAGCCGGATGCTCGGGTATGTGGACGTCTTGCTGGGTGTGGAGTCTCGAGACAAGGATGGCTGGGAAGGCGTGGTAGATCTGCAGCAGGGCGACGCAGCGGTAGGCGTCGGCGAGGATGGTGAAGTGGTTCGCCGGGGTGTTGGTGTCGCCGGTCGGGAGGTGGTGGCCTATGCCGTCGACGTCGAAGGTGAGGAGCTCGGTCTCGATGGTTTGGGCTTTCGCGTGAGGAGGATTGGGGTGCATGGCGTCGTCATAGGGAAGTGGGTTTGTTCGCTGGGTCTTCGGGAAAGTGGCCAGGTTGATGAGTGGCGCATGGCGCGCAGACCGAATGAGGCGCGCGATCTGATAGAAATACCGCAGTGCGGTGGGGAGAGGCCCTGTCCAGGGGTGCAGGAGGGTTTGGCCGTTGACCACGTAGATCGGTAGGTGGTGATCGCTGTCGCCGTCGCCGTCGCCGTCGCTGTCGGTAACCCCGAAATCCGAGATGTCCTGCGCGACGAACGCGGCTAGCATGTTCCAGTACAGGAGACACTGCTTGAAGAATGGGTACTGCTGGGTGAGGACCTCCGAATCGGAGGATGATGTTGAGGATGCTGAAGACGAGTGTTCTTCGTGGCTCCGCCGGCTCTGTCGCACGAGGAACCGCCGCGCGGCCTGGAGATAGGGCAACCCCAGATCACCCCCGTTGTGCCACGCGGTGGTCGACCCGACCATCAACAACCCGTAGAACAGATTCTCGTCATTCAGCGTCGGCGACACCGCCATCGCCTCCTGCAGGGCGTGGATGGCCCGTCGCTGCATCTGCGCGCCCACGACGCGCATCCCGGGGAAGTCGCCGGCCAGCGAGGCGGCGGCCATGCTCTGGATGGCGTAGTAGATGGGGGCGTTCTGGCTCCAGAGGCGGGCGATGTTGGTGCGGAAGGGGTTGAGGTCCGAGTCGAACGACGACCACATGGCGCAGACGTAGTCGAAGTAGTATTCCACCAGCAGGGCGGGGAGATGCACCAGGAATGAGGGTATGGAGGTGTCCGTGAGTCGTCGCCGGAGACTCTCCAGATTGTCTATCTGATTTGGGGTGCGGGCAGACGACAGGCCTGGTAGAGCGAGTGCCTCGTGCAGCGCCTGAGGAGTTGGTGCTGGTAGAGGGTCAGCCAGACTACCTCCGTCCAGCTCCGTGAGAAGCCCGATATCCAAGTCAACGGGGTTCGCCTGAGCATCAATCCCTTCTTCTCCCTCCAGCTCTCCAGTCAAAGAGAGTCTCTCGCCCTGCACCCCCGAACCAGACACACCCCCCGCCCCAAAGTCCCCCAAGTCATCGTCATCCTCAGCCAGGGGCGAAGTCATAGCCATAGCCATAGTTACAGCCCTATCGCCCCTCCCAACCTCCCCAGCCCCAGCAACCCCCTTCCTCCTCCTTCTCCCCTCGGACCCCCACCGAATAAACGGCCGACTATACCCCGGACACGTCTGCCCCCGCCGCTGACACTCATAACAAGCAGGCTTGCTCTCATCGCATCGTCGCTGTTGCCCCCCTCAGCATCAACTACCGTTACTCTCACTCCCTCATCCAAAACAGAAACAAGAGCGAGAACGCACCCGTCGCTTCTTACAACTCTCACATCCCGTGCGGGATTTCGGAGCTCGGCGTTTATCTTTCCCCTTTGGGGTTGGTTGTATTTGCGTTTCCGTTGGCCGATTTGGTGGTAAGGCGGGGGTTGGGATTTCCATTTGCTTATTCGACTGGGGTTGGTTGATTGTAGATGTGTTTGGGGGGACGGGTGAGCAAGGGAAGGGAGGGGAAGGAGGGGAAGGAGGAGGGTTTCTCGTGTGAAGACATATAGGGAAAAGAATCCACCCCTCCCCCTCTTGTCTTCATTGTGCTTTGGATGTGGAGGGGTGGGTTATGTGTGATATCACTAGTTTCTAGTTGGTAGTCACTAGTCTAGTAGCCTAGATAAGGCGCCGGCGTGAGGGGGGAGATACAGTAGCGTTATCATACATTTGTTGCTTTTGGTTGGATCTGCTATCGCTATCTACATCTGTACTCCAACAAGGCAAGCGAAAAATAAGCGGGCGATTTACCCCGCAATTTCCAGCTGCGCTGCAAGGCAACTGCACTTTTCAAACAGCCTTCGGCTGGGTTTTCATTCCTGATTTGGATCACTCACTTATTTTGTCCTTCCAGACCGAAAACATCCGCAGAGACTGCATCATCTCCTCCCAGAATCCCACCGCCGGCTGCGTGACCTCCAACTCCGCTTCATACGCCGTAATGGCCGGCGCCTCCCAGACCAGATCCGCCTCCTCCGGTCGGACGAACTTGGTCTGCTTCAACAACTTCCACCCCAGGAACAGCGCGGGCGCCACGATCACCATCGTGTAGTAGGTGACAAAGTCCGCCGCGCTCCAGGGCATGAAGCTGCTGTAGCCGTAGCACGTCACGACGCAGACCATCCAGACCAGGCCGATGTACGCGCTCCAGGGCTGGAACCATCCGCGGTAGGGCAGCTGGGCGCGGTCGAAATTCTGGGCTTGACACGCGCGGTAGAAGCAGATGTACGTCGTGGTCATGACGATGTAGTTAATCACGCCGGCGGAGGTGGTCAGGTTGATGATCCAGCTCAGGACGGTAGCGGTGTTGTTGGAGAGCTGCAGGAAGGACAAGAAAGGGAACAGCATCACGACGCCGAAGCAGTAGATGGGGACGCCGTGGCGCGTGCAGCGCCGGAAGATGCGCGGGGCACGGCCCTCGACGGCCAGGCCGTGCAGCACCCGCGTCGCCGTGTAGGTGTACGTATTGCCCGCCGAGAAGATGCTGGTCACGAGCAGCGCGTTGACAATGTGCGGCAGCACGCTGACCCCCAGGTTGCCCATCGCGATCACGTAGGGCGACGCCGACGCCGACCCCGCCCCCGCCGACGCCCCCGTCGTGATTGCCACCAGGTTCGCGTCGTTGTACGCCACCACCACCCCGACGCAGAGCGCGCTCCCGATGAAGAACACCCCGAACCGCCAGTACACCGTCTTGAACGCGTTCTTGATATACCGCCGCGGGTGCTTGCTCTCCGCCGCCACCATCGAAATGTACTCCGGCCCCACGCAGGCGAACGACGCCGCCCACAGCGCCGCCAGAAACCCCTCAAACCGGCCCAGCGCCCCCGTCGCCAGATGCGTCGCGAACGCGCCCGGGGTGTTCCAGTAGCGGAAGCCGTACGCATCGCCCCGCGGGTTGCCGCCCACCATGGTGATGAAGGTGAACAGAAACAAGACGAAAAATAGGATCACCTTGCCGCCGGAGAGCCAGAATTCGGCCTCTCCGTAGGCTCGAACTGCGAGGACGTTAAGGGATCTGAAGCGGAGATGTGAGTAAGACAAGTCTTCTGTGGGCTTTTGTGTTTCCTAATCAGAGTCGCGTGTGGAGAGGAAGTGGCTTACGCATATAGTACAATACACGCCACGCAGACGGCCGCGGTGGGAATGTGATCGCTCCAGAAGGCCAGCACCTCGGTCAGCGCCGTGATCTCAAAGGGAATCAACAGCGCTTCGTAGAAGAAGAAGTTCCACCCGGCCATGAACCCGAAGGCGTCGTCCACCCACCGGCCGGCCAGACGGATAAATCCCCCGCCAACGGGCATGTACGTGGACATCTCGGCGATGCAGTTGTTCACCAGCGAGAGCATGCAGCTGTAGATGATGTACGCGAGCAGTAGACTGCCCGGACCGGACTTGGTGAGGGCCGTGCCGATGCTCACGAACACCGCAGTCCCAATCGAGCCGCCAATCGCAATCAGCTGGATCTGTCGGTTATCCAGGCGACGCTGTAACCCATGGGCATCTGGCGGGATAATGGATCCGGGTTCAACGTCGGAAACGGTAGCATACACGTCGCTTTGGGCGGCCGATTTGCCTTTCTCCTCGTCTACAGGACGATGTTGCATGGGGGGTGTCATGGTGGGCGGGGACGGTTGAAAATGACAGGTCGGGGGAATCCGTACAGGTACGTATTGTATGGGGTACAAAGCCCTTTATAGCGCTAGCTTATCTCTGCCCGGCCGGGGTATCCAATTCTAATCTGTCATGAATCGCAACGAAACACCAAAGCGAGCAATCTCTTCCTGGCTGATCCCGGTGTGCATTTTTCATGAAACCGGCATGAAATAAGCATATCGGGCTTGGACTGGAGTTCATTGGCCATTGATGGACTGCTGTCAATGTTTTTGCCACACTGTGCGCTCAAAGCATCGATCGTGAGGGGTATCGAGGCCTCTTATCAGGCCCAGAGCAGACTAAGATACCGAGTAAGCAGACATAATTGGCCCCTCACGTAGTGCGAGATAAGGGTGTGTCGCTGAAGCCCAGTATTGGTCCTTGTTCATGTGGCGTGCCGTCACCGGCGACGGTATGGCAAGGGAGACAGGGCCACAGCTGTCAGGGCCTTGCAGAGATTTCAGTCGTCAGCACACGATTTTCAGCTGGAGGGCAGCCCTGTGGGGTGTATCTTATACTCATTAGCCAGTTGGACAGAGATCGGATGATCGATTACTCATGCATCGCGAGCTCTCTCCTGATTTGAGCGAGGATTGTTTGCCTCCTGAGGCATGGAGCCCCGGATTCCTATCCTTTTTCGGTACTCCCACGCGCCGTCTGGTCCAGAGTATACGTCCAGTCGAACATCTATACCCTGCACCCAAACCACAGCGGATTGTTGAACGTTTGTGGAATATCTTCCACGTCGTGGTGGGATATACCAGTAAACACAGAGTAGTGATGCTAGTATAAAGGCCCCTTCAATCATAGACCATCGACAACATCAACGCTAGACCCATCTCCACTCTCAATCCCAAAAAGCCTCAAACATCAATTGCCATTATGGCCGCCGCCGCCGTGCAAGCCCCCATTGCCATCCAGGCTCCCGTCGCGCCACCCACCGTGGTCGCCCCAACCACCTTGCGCGCCACACGGCCCACCAAACAGATCCCCGAGTCCATCATCCAGCGAGCGCGCGCCGTCGAAAAAGTGGACTTCGACGCCACCAAGCACCTGGCGACTGCCACACCCGGAAAGGTCTTCATGATGAAGGATCTCGGCTTCGAAGGCGCGGGGATCTCGCCGACTGCGCTCTCCGAGCCCTTCCCCCTCTTCACGCCAGAAGCGGTCCAGCAGATCCGAGCTGAAATCTTCAGCGAGCCTGTTCTCCGCGACTGCCAGTATGCATCCAGCTTTGCGACGAACATGATCCGAGGATACGGGCCACAGTAAGAGTCCTTTGGTGTGAAACCTGTCAACCTCTGAGAAAGAGGCTAACCCAAGTCGCAAGACGAGCCCCCTTCATCTTCAGCGCCTGGCACAGCCCCGAGCTCCTGGCCACCATCTCCCGCGTCGCGGGGATCGAGCTCGTGCCCGCGATGGACGTCGACGTAGGCCACGTCAACGTCTCCGTCAACGACGCCGTGGTCGAGTCGACGAAGTCCACCGCCGACTCAAACGACGATGATGACAGCGTGCCCGCCTTCGCCTGGCACCACGACAGCTACCCCTTCGTATGCGTGACGATGCTCTCCGACTGCGAAGGGATGGTCGGCGGCGAGACCGCCGTGAAGACAGCCAACGGGGAGGTGCTGAAATTCCGGGGACCGCTGATGGTGCGTTGCGACTCTCGCCCCGCCCCCTGACTATCACCTGTTCCAACCAACCAATGCATCTATCTCACCTCATACTACTCACCTCATCCCTCCCACCCCCCACCCCCATCCTCCTGCTAACTTTCATCGCGGGATAGGGCACAGCCGTCGTAATGCAAGGCCGGTACATCGAGCACCAAGCGCTGAAGGCCATCGGCGGCCGCGAGCGCATCAGCATGGTGACCGCGTTCCGGCCCCGGAACCCCCTCGTCAAGGACGAGACCGTGCTAACCAGTCTGCGGGGCATCAGCGAGCTGCCCGAGCTGTACAGCCAGTATGCGCTGTACCGGATGGAGAATCTGGAGGAGCGACTGCGCGTGCAGCTGAAGAAGCTGCGGGAGCAGCACGCGCGGCGCTGCTTCGATGTCGATGCGATTCGGGGGGCGTTGGGGGAGCAGCGAGCGTTTCTGGAGGCGACGCTGGAGGAGTTGGTGGATGTGTAGGTCTTTTGGGTTCCGATGGGGAGGATGATGATGTTAATCAATATAATTATGAATACGATCTGAGGGTTTGTGCCTTGTGCTTGTGTTTGGTTCAATGAAGGAGGTTTCTAGTGATGGTGTAGGTTTGGAAATGATGGAAGGCAAGGTACGGTCACTGCTTTGATGGCTTACCTGGAACTGACGGGCACGTGTCCTCGGTGTTTGTCCTGTTTTATACCTTCTATACGGTTCCTACCTATCTTCTAACTCGCCCCCTCTGGGATTCGCGCTTCCATTGTTCAAGTTAGGTAATCATCCCTATCGTTGTTGGGATCCAGGCATCGTACAACAGACGAAAAGAATATTCCCCTGCAGGGGGAACTGTATAATGGTTGCCTCGAAGTTATATACTTTTTTATCCTCCGTGGTCCGCGGAGGAATATGCTTGCTAATGAGGCGAAGGCTTTCCGCCGGTGCTTGGAATGCAGATGGCTTGAAGTCTTCTTTCAGCCAAATGTTTTCCACTCATTTTTATCGTGATCTGCAAGAGGTGGGAGTTCGACAGAAATGGGACTGGGGCGAGTGCAGTACTACGCAGACGACTATCATGATAGCTGGCGATGGGTGCGTTCACTGTCTAGAACCACCCTAATTCTCCTGTCTCTCCTTTCTCACGCTCTCTATCATTTGTGGTTAGATATTCGAGGCTTGTTTGTGGAAGTATCTTATGCTTTCCCGTTGTCTTAGCCTACAGAGACCAAAGTGAGAACAGGAGGACGGGGTTCATAACCGGGATACTGGATACTGAGAAGTAGGCTCGATCCTCTTATCAAACATCACTCGCCTCAATCTACAGTATACCCATGCACAAGAAGAACGTATCAACATTAGTCTAATGCCCGCAAGTCAAATACAGGAAACCCCTCAGCCCTCAACCAGCCAGCCAGCCACCCAATCCATCTATTCGGGGAATCGGAACCAGAACGGAAGAAAACAACATCACAGACAAAGTGGCTAGGTAGTATGTCGAGCCGGTGCAGAATGGTAGGACGCCTCTATGTTCCATGATCTTCATGTCGAACAACAGTCTATCGGTCATCCCGTCCTGACAGATCCCAACCCACCGATCCGGGTCCAAGACGGCTGGGCCCAAGATCCACTGAACGCCGAAAACAAGTACACAACAAAAATATCAAAAGATAATCAGACACCCGTCCCGCTGGTGACTTAACACATAGCTCGTGACGCACGCCATGGATATCCAACGCTAAATATGAACACTAGAAGAGGAAGCTGAGGTGGGGGAAAATGGTAAACTGATGAAACTTCTGTCCAGCAGCAAGGAGGACAGGAGAGAAACAACCGGAAAATAGAAGAAAATGGGGTCTCGTGGGTCGAATCGAAATAAATGTACCGCCCAAGATCCTATGCGCCCGCTAACAAGCAGCCTGGTATTGTAAAGCTGTATGCATGGTTGGAATCAGACGGAGAAGAAACGAAAAGTATGCAATGCGTCGCCCGGGGTATTATGCCACTGTAGAGTTCGGAAAGTCCTGGTTAGGAATGTTTCGTGATCGCCCATCATCGGCTGCTTCGTCATAGGGGAGATTGTCCTGGACCTGGATGTCCCATCGGCGGAGGACTGCCAAAGCCGGCTTGTTGCACAGGATCGCCAGCGTACATGGGGTACTGCACCACGCTCATAGGAGACATGGCGTTGACATCCTGCCAACCAGGATACCCCATCGTCCCTGGCTGGCCAGGGTAGGACACAGATACCGGCGTCCCTTGAAGATCGGCGGAAGGAGGACTCTGGGGGTTCATCGGAACGCCCGGGAACGATTGCGCCGGGCTGGTCATTCTGCGTTTGAGATCCGCGGGGAGCGGCTGCACAAATTGAGCAGGGTTGGGATAAGGCGCAGTCATGTCGGTCGGTTGCGCAGGGAACGTCATTGATCGCGCGGGAGCAACCTGCCACACCGATCCATCGGGTTGCATGGCGTACGTGGGTGCAGCATTGAGCGCTGGGTTTTGCGACGGGACTGTCGGGGTGGCTGGTAAAGGGGACGCGGTCGGCATCGGGGCCATTTGACCCGGCGCAGGCGCCCAGACATTAGCAGGTACGTTCATCATGTTCTTGCCCGCGGCCATGGACGCTAGCATTTGTTGATCGGGGATTGTTGTAAACTCATCCCAGGCGACAGTAGACGGGTCGATAGACGGATGCGGCGCGAATTCGGAAGAAGGAACACTGCGCTCTGTAAGTGCGTTAGTTCATCGACCCACCCCTTCACGAGAGATCCACAAACCAGGAGCAAAAGTCGCCATCGGATTGCCGGGGAAGACAGCGGCGTTGAACCCCGCTACGTCTGGGTTCGCACCCAGTGCCATTGATTGGTAAGGAAAGTACGCTTCTGTTTGGTCGCCAGTGAGAGTGGGAGGCGATGACGAGGCTGTCGAGGGATCTGTTGATGCCGTTTCCAATCGGGAACTCGGGCGTGATTTCTTCTCGATAGGAGGCTGCTGATCAACCGGAAAGAATTGGCACTCTTTTCGCAGTCGGATGCAGTTCTCGCATCGTCCCTGAGCATCATCCGCGGCGAGAAGGCATCGGATTTTCCGTCGTCGACAGTGCACTTGGATGGTGATGATAAGTTCAACGGCTTTGATTGACACACAGAAGGTGGAGGAGAGCTGAGCTTACCGCATGCGACAGAGGTACGATGATATCCAAGCTTGTTGCGCTTCTTATCTGCAGCGGATGATTCCATGATTGCGCCTTGTGGTATCGGAGAAGGGTCGATGTTTTGAACGAGTGCGGGCATAGCCCCAGCAAAGATAGTTAGA